ATATATATATGATACCTCCATTAAGAGAACATGCTTTGAGCGCTTTACAAAAACAAGTAGCTACAGAAATAGAACATTGAGTTCCGACTTAATTAAATTCTTAATAAAATATTATCTTTTTAATCTAAAGACCGAAACGACTTGAGATGACTTATAAGCATTAAAATATTTGATTTCTTTTAAATTTAAATGCTTTGTCTTCGGGTCACAAAATATAGTTATAATATATGCAAATGATATGCCTTTTCAGCAATTGCTTTCAGTTTCATTGATAGTAACATGCAAAAATTTCTTTCTTTTTTTTTGGTCACATGATGGTTTTAAACTGCCAGCTGAAGTGTGCATTTTCGACAAATTGGAGAAAATAGGAAGCATTTGTGGCACAATGGGACCGAATTATGCCCTTTTCTCACCAGTAAGTTGAGTAAGCCAGTGCAGTGTCTGTGCAGGAGGTGAAGCGGAGTCTCACTTTATGTTCATTTTCTTCAGAGATACGCCTGATAACAAAGAGTTCCAATAATCCGGTCTAGGTAACATAAAACTATCTACTACAAAAGCAGCAAACTCAGTTTTGAATAGATGAGGTATTTTTCTGATTTAAAAAAATAAATTCTAAATACCTGCAGCTGATCAGATGATTTAACTGCGCAGAAATGGACAAATCCGAATAAAAATAAATGCGAAAATTTTCAACTTTTCATGAAAATGCAATTTTCGTGTCAACAGTTTACTGCAAGTAATCATTATCAACCTCGTACAAACATTATGCATACAAAGGCAAATAATATATATAAACATAGAAAAATTCCTGTAACCACGAAAAGATTTTAAATCCCCGTTTTTATCCGATTTATTCCATGCCTTGCAATTTCTCTGAACTAGAAATCTACTAACACTAATTATTCAAGAAGAAATTCTCTGTTCTCCGTAGCTTTGTGTTGTCAGTGTTTTTCTGTATGTATACATATATCATATAATATATACACACATATTCATACACACGTATATAAAAAACATATTCATATGTATATATATATACACACATATATTATGCCCTATATCATATGATGACATAAAAAGAGAAAAAGAGAGAGACAGACGATATTTATATAGGCCTAGATTTGACTAAATTTGATATATATAAATAATATATCAAAGTGCTAGTTTTGTAGTTGTAGGAGACTGAAAGCTTACTAAAGCAAGTAAGGTAGGATGGAGGAATTCCACACCACACTCTTCCGACTAGATTGTGTGAGAAGTTGTATTGAGGCTACTTTTGTTACGTAAACCGATGACACATTCCACACATTACTGTTTCACTTTGGATCTGCTGTTAAATTAAAA